CCAACCATACTTTCAGATCACAGTGAAATAAAAATCCAAATCAATACCAAGAAGATATCTTAAAATCATGCAATTACATGGAAATTAAACTTGCTTCTGCTCCTGAATGACTTTTGAGCAAGCAATGAAGTTAAGGCAGCAATTAAAAACAATCTTTAAAATAAATGAAAACACAGAGAAAACATACCAAAATCTCTGAAATACAGCTAAAATAGTGTTAAGAGGAAAGCTTATAACACTAAATACCTGCATCAAGAAGTTAGATCTCAAATTGGCAATCTAACATCACAGCTGGAGGAACTAAAAAAAGAATAAACTAACCATAAAGGTATTAGGGAAAAGAAATAACTGAAATCAGATCAGAACTGAAAAAAATTGAAACCCCAAAATCCATTCAAAAGATCAATGAAACCAAAAGCTGGTTATTTGAAAGGATAAACAAGATTGATAGACAGCTAGCTAGATTAATGAAGAAAAGTAGAGAGAGGATCCAAATAAGCATAATCAAAAAGAACAAAGTTGACATTACAACCAAGCCCACAGAAATAACAAAATATTCCCAGAGAGTATTATGAACACCTTTATGCACACAAACTAGAAAATCTAGAGGAAATGGACAAATTTCTGGAAACATAAAACCTCCCAAGACTGAGCCAGGGAGAAATTGAAACCCTGAACAGACCAATATTAAGTTACAAAATTGAATCAATAATAATAATAATAAAAACCTTCCAACCAAAAAGAGCCCTAGACCAGATGGATTTCAGCTGAGTTCTACCAGATGTACAAAGAACAGGTACCAATCCTGCTGAAACTATTCCAAAAAACTGAGGAAGAGAGACTTCTCCCTAACTTATTCAATGAAGCCAGAATCACATTGATACCAAAATCTGGCAAAGACAAAACAAAAAAAAGAGAAAGGTACAGGCCAATAGTCCCTGATTAACATAGATTAAAAATCTTCAAGGAAATGCTAGCTGACTAAATCCTGCAGCACATCAAAAGTTAATTCATTGTGATGAAGTATGCTTGATTCTTGAGACGCAGAGCTGGTTCAACATGTGCAAATCAATAAATGTGATTCACTACACAAACAGAATTTTAAAAAAATATCATGTAAATAGATGTAGGAAAACTTTTAATAAAATCCAACACCATTTCATGATAAAAAACCCTCAATAAATTAGGCATTGTTGGAACATACCTCAAAATGATAAGAGCTTGTAAAACAAGCCAACAACCAACATCATAGTAAAAGGGCAAACACTGGAATAATTTTACTTAAGAATTGGAACAAGTCAAAGATGCTCACTCTTTCCAATTCAACACAGTACTGGAAGTCCTTGTCAGAGCGATCAGGCAAAAGATAGAAAAAAAGGCATCCTGATAGAAAAAAAGTAGATGTCAAAAGATCTCTCTTCACTGATGATATAACTCTATACCTAGAAAATCCCAACGACTCCACTAAAAGACCTCTAGAACTGATAAATGACTTCAGTAGGGTTTTAGGATCCAAAGTAAATGCAGAAAAATCAGTAACATTTCTATACACCAATAATGTTTAACCTCAGAGCCAAATCGATAACACAATTTCATTTACAGTAGCCACACACAAAATAAAATACCTAGGAATACATATAATCAAGGTAGTGAAAAATCCTTACAAGGAAAACTACAAACACTGCTGAAGGAAATCATAGATGATACAAACAAATGGAAAAACATCTCATACTCATGGATTGGAAGAATCAATATGGTTAAAATGGCCATACTGCCCAAAGCAATCTACAGATTCAAGGCTATTTCCATCAAACTATCAACATCATTTTTTACAGAATTGGAAAAAATTTTTCTAAAATTCATTTGGAACCAAAAAACAGCCCAAATAGCCAAAGCAATTCTAAGAAAGAAAAACAAAGATGGAGGCATCATACTACCTGACCTCAAAAAATATTTTATGGTTACAGTAACCCAAACAGCATGGTACTGGTATGAAAACAGACACATAAACCAATGAACATAATAAGAACCCATAAATGAAGCCACACACCTACAAGCATCTGATCTTCAATGACTTTGACAATAACAGGCAATGGGAAAAGAACTCCCTTTGAATAAGTAGTGCTGGAATAACTGTCTAGCCACATGCAAAAGAATAAAACTTGACTCCTATTTTTCACAATATACAAAAATTAATATAAGATAAATTAGAGACTTAAATATAAAACCAAAAACTATAAAATCCTAGAAGATACTTTAGAAAATACCATTCTGGGCATTGGTCTTGACATTCATGACTAAGACCCCAGAAGCAATTGCAACAAAAATAAAAATGGACAAGTGGGACCTAATTAAACTGAAGAACTTCTGCACATCAAAAGAAACTATCAACAGAGTAAACAGACAACCTACAGAATGGGAGAAAATATTTGTAAACTATACATCCAGCAATGGTCTTATTAAAAAAACCTATAAGGAACTTAAATCGATAAGCAAAAAACAAACAGTCTCCTTAAAATATAGGCAAAAGAGATGAACAGACACATCTTGAAAGAAGACATATGTGTGGCCAAGAAATATATTTTAAAAATTCTCAACAGCTCTAGTCATCAGAGGAAGACAAATCAAAACCACAATGTGATACCTACTATCTCACAGCAGTCTGAGTGGCTACTATTAAAAAGTCAAAAAATAGCAGATGTCAGTCAAGTTGTGCAGACAAGGAATTGCTCATACACTCTTGGTGGAAATTTCAATTAATTCAGCCACTGTGGAAAGCAGTTTGGAGTTTTCTCAAAGAACTTAAAACAGAACTTAAAACCATTCAACCTAGCAATCCCATTACTGGGTGTATACTCAAAGGAAAATAAATGTTCTACCAGAAAGACACATGTCTCAGATGTTCATTGTAACACTAGTCACAATAGCAAAGACATACAATTAACCTAGGTTCCCATCAACATTGGGCTAAATAAATGTGGTACATCCATATCATGGAATACTACACAGCCATATAAAAGAAAGAAATTATTTTTTGCAGCAACATGGATGCAGCTGGAGACCATCATCCTGAGCAAATTAATGAAGGGACAGAAAACCAAATGAGAACTAAGCATTGAGTACACATGAACATAAAGATGGGAACAACAGACACTTGGGACTATTTGAGGGGAGGGTGGGAGGAGGGTGAGTGTTGAAAAGCTATCTAGCAGGCGCCATACTTACTGCCTGCATGATGGGATCATTCATACAGCAAACCTCAGTGACATGCAATTCGCCCATGTAACAAATCTGAACATGTACTCCCTGAAACTAAAATATGAGTTGAAAAAAAATTTAAGATAGTTCTGAGAAATTCCCAGCAAACCTTTGGCTTGCTTGTTGGGTTTGTGAGTCTACACCCAGTTTCTTTTTTACCTCTTTTACTTATTTCCTCTTTCTTCTCCAGAATGGTTTAGATGAACATATTCTGTCATATCCTATCTGCTTCTCCTTTAGTATTACACAACTTTTACACACATTAGCCTGCATACCAAAGATATGTAAATATAGATGCCTCAACTATACACTTGTTCCATCATGTCCCAAATAAACCCATTTCTAAAGGCATTAACAAACTGGAATTTATCTGGGAGAGCTAATGCAGATGGTTCTGTTTTTCAAGTACAGTGACTTTTCTCTGGCAGTGAGGAATGGGAACATCCAACATCTGAGCTCACTGGGGCTCAGGCCACATGGAAGCTGCTGCCATATTGCCTTGTCATCTGCAGTTTGGCATAACTTAATGGGTTCTTCATTTCTCTCTCATTTTGTGGGCACACTTCAGCGGTAGCTCAAGACGCTCAACAGTTTGTACTCTACATATATTTATAACTGATCTTTGTAGAACAAATATAAGAAGTGTAACTTACTCCAAGAGTTTTTGTGTATTTTGTTAGAGGCTTTTACTATGATAAGCTCTTGGTGGACCAGCATCAAGAAAGGAAGTAGGTGCTTCACTTCTACTGACCTCCTATTTTGTGCAATGCACTGTAGAGAAAGCAGAGAGATATAAGAGATATCCATAAAGAGCTCATAATCTAGTAGGAAATGACCATATTATAAAAAAAATAAAAAGTACCTGTATTAGACAGAATAATGCCCCCCACCAAGATGTCAACAGCATAATCACTGGAACCTGTGAATATATCCTATGACATGGCAAGGAGAACTTAAGGTTGTAGATAGAATTAAGGATGCTAGTTGGCTGATCTTAAAGCAGGGAGATTATTCTGGATTATTCTGCTGGGCCCAATATCATCAAAAGGATCCTTAAAAGTGAAAGAGGGAGGCAAAAGAAGAATCAGAGTGATGCAAAGTGAATAGGATTTGACCTGCTGTCGCTGGCTTTAAAAATGGAGGAAGGTACCATGATCAAAGGGATACAGCAACCTCTAGATGCAGAAAAAGAGAAGGAATCACACTCTCTTCTAGGACTTCCAGGAAGAGTGCAGTCCTGCCAACAGCTTCTTTTTAGCCCAGTGATATCCAAGCCAGACTTCTGACCTGCAGAACTAGAAGATAATAAACATGTGTTATTTCAAGCCCCTAAATTTGTGGTGATTTTTCACCACAGCAATGAAAAACTAAAATAGCATCATATGATTAGTGTCGATGAGAGGTTAAAACCAGCCAAAAGATGGAGAGACAATGTGTGAGTACTTTTTTGAACTTAAAAGCAGTATTGAAATAGAAGTCCATTATTTACTGTAAAAAAGTAAAAACAACAAAAAGGATAATACTTAGTACTTATCTCACAAAGTTGTAATAAACATTAAGTATTCCTCTTTCTCTTGAATACAAAATAAGTATATAATAGGTCATGTGTGTATGTTTATATGTATAAAAATATAAACATGTTTTATATAAATATATATGAATATATAATGTATAATAAATATATAAACATATATTTATAAATATGTAAACATATAAAGAAACAAGTATATATAGATATGTAATTCAGTATTCAATTAGGAAAGCAGAAACATTCCACATAAATATAATACTGAACACTAATTACACAGGTAAGGGAAGAACTGAGAAGCCAAACAGGAAATGCTGAGACACTAGAGATTAACAAGAGCAGGAAGTCACCAGTGCCCCCAGGGCTAGAAGGGCAGCAGGAGGAAGTGGCATTCCCAAACCCCAGATTCTGGGTCATCCCATGGAGGCCATACCATGGAGGGTGCTGCCGTGCGGTGCAGACTGCATACCAAGCAAGAGCTGGAGTTTGAAAGGAGATTGCTGCTGTCCAGGAGAAGGAGAAGGAGAATTGTCCTGTCCTCGTCTTTCCTTCCATCATCTCATCTCACATCAGTGCCTCCCATTGGTTGAATCCAGCAAGAAAGCAGCTGAAGTAAGTGCCTGGGAAGTGTAGCCCTCCTGTCAAACAAAGGGAAACAGGGGAAAGGAGAGAAATAAGAGAGAAAGAATAAAAGTGGATACAAAAATAGTCCCTACCTATTGCCTTGTTGTGAGGATTAAACTATCTGAATTGTGCGAAGCACTAATATGGCACTCATTAGCATGTATTCAGTTGATGTTTGCTATTGTTATTATTGCCTTAGCTTTAATTACACAATTAAAGTAATGAAAGTGATGCTTAAAACTTCTCCCATAACCTAGGATTGTAAACCATTCTAAATGCTTTCAAATCTATTATAGGTTCCTCTAGAGGGACATTATCATGTGCTGAGCTTTATTAGGCAACAAAACATTGCTGAAGGGTACACCAGAGACAACTTGATGAACGAGATACAAAGCTAGTGTAATGTGACAAGGGCAAACAGATCTTCCCTTCACTCAGCTCTATCATCTTTCTTTGATCACATGTTGGTGAACTCTCCAAATAACTTTTAAATTATCTTTGGAGAAAATTTAATAATCATGCTTGGGCTGTCTCCTGAGTTTATTTAAGAAACTTATCTACTATATTGTCAGCATGGAAAACTTAATGTCTTGCCAACTAAAATATACTTGTAAATCATTGGTAAAGTGTTTAATTTCTGTCTTGTTGCATGTCTGTGTTTGGTGTTTGCAGTTAAAAAGACTCCTACATAGTCTTTAATTTCATTTCACTTTTCATCCTTTCAAGACATCTACATCATGTCTGAGATTCTAGCTTATTTTAGGTCATGGAAAAAGTTCTGTATGTGTATACTGAACAGATTCTCATGTTTATCCTTCTGTATTTGTGCTGAGCTCTAGAACCATATTTAGTTACTCACTGGGGATTTCTATTCAGTTTTCCAACAGTAAATCATGCTTACAAGGCAACACATCATTGTTAAGCGCAAATCTGCTTTTGACCATGGCACATGTTTACCTATGTAACAAACCTACACATTCTGCACATGTATCCTGGAACGTAAAGTAAAAAGAAAAATCTTCTGCTTTTGCTCCTGTAATTTATATCTTGGTGAATGAAATTATCTTCCCCCTCCCAAAATCAGAAATAGAGTCATAATAATGTCCCCCACTCACTTACTCTTTTTCTTTCTCCTGACCCCATCCAAACAGTCAAGTCCATTGTGAATCCACCTTGTTCAAAAGTCTCCAATCTACTTCATCTTCTCATTTCCACAACCACTGTCTTAGTTCACTCTCATGCCACCTGTTAACTAGCAGACTCCCTAAGATATTGATGTCATCTCCTTGCTTCCAACATGGCCCTTGTCCCATCTAGTCTCCATTGTACGATTAGAATATTTTCACAAACACATGATTACAACATTTCCAAATTTAAAAGTATTTGCTTGTTTCCTATGGTTTCTAGTTAAATTTAAAAATATTAGGCTAATATGCAATGCTGATGAAATTTGTCATTGATGAACTCTATAGCATTATGTCCTGCATGTACCATTTATGGCAATAATATGAAATTACTTTTATTACTCTAAGTAGCATCCCTTTCTCAAGAATGTGTTTTCTGTAAGGGACATCTTATTTCGATGCTTTTCTCCTTGGAAATTCCTATCACTGCAGTCATTAGACAGTGCTTTCCTAGTTTTTTACATGTGTGCATCTTACTTATTTGACTATAAGCTATTTAGAGGCAAATACCATGGTTCTAGATTTTTCTATTGCAAGTACCTCAAACTATGGTATCCAATATGGTAGTCACTAGTCACATGTCTGTTGAGAACTTGAAATGTAGCTGGCCCAAGTTGAAATGTGATATAAGGGCAAACTACCCACCAGATTTTGAAGACCCAATATGCAAAATTTTAAACAAATGTATTATTTTTATATTTGATTGCATGTTAAAATAATATTTGGGGTACATTAGATTAATGTTATTGCTAAAATTAATTTCATCTGTTCTTCTTACTTTTTTATGGCTCCTAGAAAATTTAAATGACATATATGGCTCACATTTGTGATTCTCATTAAATGTCTATGAGATGGCACTGTTACAGAATGGAACAGGATCAAGAAGCATTCACAAGTGAAAACAGGGCTTTGAAGGAACAGTCTGGAAAAAGTCTAGACATTTAAACAAGATCAAGAATGCAAACTAAAGTAGAAAAGAAAAAGAAAAATAGACCATATACTCAGTTTTGCAGTTGAGGTTGAGTTGTCCAGGAAGGAACAGCTGGAAGTCCACCTAAGATTTTTTTTTTTTCTTTTTCTTTCTTTTTTTTTTTTTTTTTTTTTTGAGACCCAGTTTCACTCTTGCTGCCCAGGCTGGAGTGCAATGGTGCAATCTCGGCTCACTGCAACCTCAGCCTCCCAGGTTGAAGTGATTCTCCCACCTCAGCCTCCCAAGTAGCTGGGACTACAGGTGCCCACCATCATGCCCGGCTAATTTTTGTATTTTTAGTGGAGATGGGGTTTCACCATGTTGGCCAGGTTGGTCTTGAATTCCTGACCTTGGGTGATCCACCCGCCTCAGCCTCCCAAAGTGCTGGCATTACAGGCGTGAGCCACCACGCCCAGCCACATAAGTTGCTTTAAACTTATTTGTCCTGGAGATAAATCTGAATTTTGATTCTGAATCATGTGTATATGGGAAGGACTTTCGAAACAGGCGAATATGAGCTACTTAAACATGGAGGGCTGAATACGTAAATTATTCTGGAGCCCCTTAAAAGGCTCTTAAAAAATAGCTGCCAAATAAATTTTTTGAAAAACAACACACCTACAATGAGAAATAGAAGAGGGTAGCAGACAATAGTAATAACATTTTGGAAAAAGAAATCAGAAAGATAAATAGTTAATAAGCAATGTGTAAGTAGAAAAATATCTCAAAAATATTAATATTCCAAGAGGGAAAACAAAACATGAACCAAGAAAGGTGTCTTATGAAGCACTTCATTAAATATGAAGAAGCTCTTGGAATTTCTTGAACCTGGGAGGTGGAGGTTGCAGTGAGCTGGGATCGTGCCATTGTACTCCAGCCTGGGCAACAGAGCAAGACTCTGGGAAAAAAAAAAAAAGGCTCTTGACACTAAAAATATGCTGATATAAATGAAAAACTGTGTGGAAGAAGTGGAATATAACATTGAAGATAGCTAGAAATCAGAGCAAACAGAGATAGAAAACAGAAAAGAAGATAAGAAAATTAGATGATTTTCTTAGGAGATCCTAACAACAGGAGTAACAGAATGAGAAAATTGAGAAAACAGAGATAAGAAAATTACCATAGAAATGTATTTTTAAAATATATTCGTTACTAAAGAACGTGAGTTTTAAGCCAGGGGTGGTAGCACACACCTGTAATTCCAGCATTTTGGGAGGCTGAGGTGGAGGAATTGCTTGAGGCCAGGAGCTTGAGACCAGCTTGGGCAACAATGTGACACTCCATTTCTACAAAACATTACAAAAAAAATTAACTGGGCTGAGTGGGACACACCTGTAGTCTCAGCTACTCAGGAGGCTGAGGAGGGAGGATCTCCCGAGTCCAGCAGTTTGAGGTTTCAGTGAGTTGTGATTGTGCCACTGCACTCTAGCCTGGGTAACAGAAAGAAATCCTGTCTCTAAAAATAACAAATAAAATAATTTTTTTTCTAATTAATAGAGTCCCAAATGTCTTACACAATAAATGCAAATAGACCCAGATCAAGAAACATAATTAAAATTTTAGAGTAATGGAGGCAAAGAGAAGCCTCTACAAGTTTCTAGAGAGAGTTTTATGCAAAGAATAAAATATCAGAAGGCCATCACATTTCTTAATAGAACGCTGGAAACCTGAAGACACAGGAGAAATATTTTCACATTCTTAGCAGAAATAATCTACAACAAAACTGTTAAGCCAAATATCTAGTGTGGGTTTATGGATAAGATAATTTAAGAACATATATATATATATATATATATATAGTCTGTGATCCTTTCACCTTTTCAGGAAGTTGTGTTCTGCTAAAGTCAAGAAGAAAATTAAGAAACAGGAAAACATTAGATGTAGCAGAAGTGGGAGGCAAAGTAAATTCGTAGGAAGATGCAAAAGAGGTATCAAGACCACAGCAAGCCTAGATCAACCAGACCAAGTCCGAAGGCCTAGATCAACCATCAGGAGCACTGATGATGTAAGTCCCAGTCCAAGAGCAGGAGAAGGCTGATGTCCCAGTTCACATAGTCCGCAGAGACAGCAACTTCTCCTTCCTCTGCCTTTTTGTTGTATTCCCGCCACTCAACGGATTGGATGATGCCCATCCACACCGCGAAGGGTAATCTCCCTTACTCAGTCCGCTAATTCACGTCCTAATCTTACCTGGAAACATCCTTGCAGACACACTCAGAAATAATGTTTAAATATCTAGGCACCCCATGACCCCTTCAAGTTGATGCGTATTTTTAACCATCACAGATACAAATACAAAGTAATCCATTAAAAGAGTTTAATATGTTTGCTTCTGGAGAGGACAAAAATAGTGAAAATTCAAGCATCTACTCTTTCTCATAACCTGTCTCACAGAACTCTCTGAGTTTTAAAAAATGACTTAACATGTATGAGTAAATATGACTAATTAACAAAATGTGTATGCATGCAAGTCCAGAAGCACTGCACAGTTAGAGCATATAGATAGTTAAATAAGGACAAAATAATCTGTAAACGAAGTCCAGTTTATAATGCATGCCAGTTCCTGAAAAATCCAGCAGTCACAACATGGTACTTGAAAGCTCATTTTCAGATTTTAGGAAGAACCATGGTTCCACTGTCAAACTTCAGCTGATTGGATTTAAAACAGCTTTTTCAGTTTTGTTTACATATTATCAATAACTAAGTGTGGCTTATATGAAACTTTACAGAGTTTATAATTTGTGCAAATTTTGATAGATGGTATATGTGAAATATGTCTTCACAATAACAAGGTAGGCCTATGTATAAGCCAGCTGTAAGGCACCTATTATCAAATAATAGTAGGAAACATTACTGAAGATTTTGGAGGTGTGTGGCATTGTCATAAACCACTGATTTATATATTTTCTCATTCGATAATCCCATGAAATAGAATAAGCTGTGTGTATCATTGATAGGAAGTTAAAGCTCAAGAAATAAAATAATTTGCCCAAAGTCCTGCATGTGCTTTTGATCCCTGAGCTGTAAAGACTCTTCTAAATGAGTGGTGATTGTTTTTGTAGTAATCGTTTTAAGAGGTGTTACATTTACTTCACTGATACTGCTACTATTGCTAATTCATAAAAAAAGTATAAAAATTTATATTCAGAAACATCTTTCCCATCATTCTTGAATATTTTCAGCTGGCAAATATTTTGGTCTTTGAGAATGGATTTGATTTTTCTTTAATATACAAAATTCGCTGGAGCAAAGCCTGATAAACTGAATTAGTAATTAACTTGGGAAATGTTTTCTTTTTCAGTCAAAAGCTGCATTTGTGAATAAAAGGTATGTTTTGTAACTAGTAACTTTGCTAGGAAGGCATTTCTCAAAGAAGAACTCCAAATACGTGATATGTAGATGATGTCATGAAAGTGTATACAGCTTTGCATAGCAATATTATGAATGATGTTCGAATGCATTTCTTTCCCTCTCTCTCTTTCTCTCTCTCTCTAATTTATCTATCTATTCATTCATCCCACTGTACTTGTTAAAAACTCCATGCAGTTAGGAGTATATGTGCCATCATACTCGTCAAGAACTTGCATTAGGGAAATGTATGTATATTTCTGGAGGACACATCTTTTCTTCCCAGTCTCAGTCATACTTGCTTTGCCCTGCATTCCCTAGAACTCTGCGTTTATGTTGTATCATGTCCATAAACGCTTACTTCTGTGAAGGGATCCACTATGAGAGGCATAAAAACATTCTACATTTTTGCACTAAAAATACCCTAAAATATGTGGAAATAGATTGTTGTTGTCCCTCCTTTTTCCTAAACATACCTAAAAAGGAGTGAAGTTGCATTCCCAGAGGGTATTTTCCAGAAGCTAGGTCTTCTGCTTGCTTACAGTGTCCAAAGTTCTCCTTAAAGAGAAATGATTGCTACAGTGCCACTTCCTAAAGAAGAGTCTTAGTTTTAAAATTTCTTAGTCACTCTTGTTCAGGGTTTGGTTTACTGAACTATAGAGTGCCTCTGGAGCATATGTTTTGTTTTAGCCAGTTAGGTGGTTAATACTGAGTGTCAACTTGAGTGGATTGAAGGATACAAAGTATTGACCCTGGGTGTGTCTGGAGGGTGTTACCAGAATACATAAACATTTGAGTCAGTGGGCTGGGGAAAGCGGTTTCACCCTTAATCTGGTGGGCACAAGCTAATCAGCTGCCAAGGAATATAAAGCAGGCAGAAAAAGGCGAAAAGGAGAGACTGGCCTAGCCTCCCAGCCTACATCTTTCTCTGGTACTGGATGCCCCCTGCCTTCCAACATCGCACTCCAAGTTCTTCAGTTTGGAACTTGCACTGTCTCTCCTTGCTCCTCAGCTTGCAGACAGCCTATTGTGGGACCCTGCGATTGTGTAAGTTAATACTTAATAAACTCCCCTTTATATATGTGTATCTATCTATCCTATTCATTCTGTCCCTCCATTGTACCCTAGCACAGCCTGTTAATTAATTTTATTGAATTTCTCCATAAAACAATGATTTTAAAGAACAAACCTGAATGAATATTAAATCCTAAAGTCCCCATTATTTGAACACAATAAATTATTTTACTTTGTTCGTTAAATGAGATCTAGCCAAAGCTTAACCACACTATTTAAAGAAAGAAGAGAGGTGGGACCAAGAAGTCAGAAATACTTCCTGGAAATTGCCTCTTTTGATTTTGCCATTTCATCATGCAGCATGGTGACAGGTTCCTGGGCCTGTTGCTGTGACACCATGATCACGAGGCAGCATGTGCACTTGGCTCACTATGACAACCATCCTAAGCCAATTATCCACACATGATGAAATGCTCATCCTCAATGCTATCTCAATAGAGATTTGGAACCTATCTACTCATTTCCTAGTGTTCTCTTTCTATCCTGGTTTTCCTTTCGTCATAAGTGATGTAAATAAAATTCTCTGAGGTTTCTGGAAAGGAGAAAGGAGTTTATGTTAATATCCTTCTAATTTTCAGCCCTCAGTGCAGAATTCCAAATTATGGCTGAAAGTTTGGGAGGTCAGCTGGATGCTTGCTTTGTGTTTTTGTTACTCCCTTCCAGACATAGTTGCTTATTTCAGAGATATTTTGTAATCTCTGCTCTTACTCATAAACTGAGTGGCAAGGAAGCAACCTTAACCATAGAACCCTTGAATAGCAAGAGAAAAGATTTTGCTAGAAAGACTAATCATTTAATAAATGTAATTATCTCTGATATCTATCACCTTCAGTAGTCTGAATTCTAGTTTATACCTCAGAATTAAAGTTTGCACCTCATGATTAAACTCTGCATGGTTCCTCATTCATGTCAATGAGAATGACAATGGCTTTCCAGAGAACATTGCCTAGCTAGAAGAATGAAACCTTCTATCCTCAAATATCAGAGATAAAAAAGCACAAGGAAAAAGGCAAAGATATATTATACACAGGTGAACTATTCTATGTAAAATATAAGTTGAAATACTCTACCCAGCTTTCATTTCCAAGTCCTCGTAGAGACAGAAATATTTGACTTGGTTGAAAAGCAAGTTGACTGAAGGGGTATGATTATGTCGTGCTTTGAACAATGTGGCTTAAACCATTATTGGAAGTTGGTACAAATAAACCTCATAATTTGAGAAAGATTGGAAAAATAAGACCTTCAACAAAATGCTCACACAGAGAACTTTTCCATCTTGTACTTCTCCTCAACTGCTTCTACTCTCGCCTTGTCCCTGTCTTCTATCACAAAGGGATCATGATCTGTAATTGATATGCTAACATTTGGATGGTAGCAAAGGCTTAATGAATTTCTCCTTCTGGACAGTGTTTGAAGGTCAATGTTCTTCAGGATCTTAAGCTAAAAGATGAGTCAGGGGACATGTAAGCACAACTGAGAATATTCTTGGTCAGAATTTTTGAAGAAAATATGCCACATGCCAGAAACACAAGGACACACATTACACATCTCCCCTTTGCTTTCAGAGGAAGGAATATTTCCTTTGCTTCTCTTTGTTTTCAGGCACAACCTGCACTTTATAGCCATTCTCTTAGGAACAAAGACTATATAAAGGAAATAAAGCACACGGTCTCTTTGCTTTTGGAAAGCTATTTGTGAAAGTTATTTGCATATATTTTTCTCTTTAGGAGAGTTTAGAAATCACTGGAGAATTGCTTTGTGCTTTAATGGACAGTGGAAGGATTTAGTGATCAGGGAGATGGGGCACTGAATCCCAGCCCAACAGCTTTGTGATTGGTCTTAATTTGAATGTCCTCATCCGTAATAAAAGGATGATAGAGACCCTAACAAGGTCCTTCTGAGCACCTGCCAGCAGACAGCCTTCGAATTGAAACTGAAACATCAATTCTTCCCTGGGTCTAAAGTCTGCAGGCCTAACATGTAGATTTTTAGACTTGCTAATCCCCTCCATCATTGCATAAGACCATTCCTAAAATAAATATTTCTCTCTCTCGCTCCTTCTCTCTCTCTCTCTCTCTCCACACACAGACACACACACACACACACACACATACACACGCACGGACACACTCACATCCTATTGGTCTGTTTCTTCAGAGACCCCTAACTAACACAGATTTTGGAAGCAAGATCACTGATATTTGACAGATCTTAATTAAACCCTCATTTTGTCACATTTGTAATGTCTGAGAAGGATGGTGGCTACCTTTTTTTCCATTATTCATTTTTACATCCTCAGTTGATGTCAGAAAGGAGGCAAAACTGGATGAACACCTGAACTCAAATAAGTCTTAGGAGTCAATAATGAAGTGTAAGAATAATTTATTGGGCACCTGCCAAATACCTGACTTCTTACTTATTGACCCAGAAATTATATTGATTTATATACATATCAATATATATGAATCAATATCATTCCAAATGAATGATTCATTTGTCCATTCACTCATTGATTAGCTCAACAAACATTAAATGAATCACAATTATATATCAGATAGTGTGTAACTTGCAGAGGATGCATGA